ATAACAGGAGCGTTCTATCGCCCCCCACACCCAAGCCTAGCATCACCAGGACGGGGTCACCAAGATGTCCAGGGAGTACTCGCTGAATGGATGGAGTCTCTCCTGCTCTAGCAATTGGTGCAATGGAGGATGGCAGGGCACCCTGTGAGGTGGAGGACAGGGAACCCCAAAAGCAGAGTGGGCTCCACATCCAGGGCCAGATCCAACGACAGCCCTAATCACCCCTGCAGGGCTGAGCAGCTGAGCTAGCAGGTGAATCTCAAGCCCTGCCTCAAGGCAAGGTGGGGTCAGCGTCAGCAGGTGGGGGGAAAGGTTCGTGCAGCCTGAGGCACCTGCAGGACCTGCTTGAAGCTGTCTGGGCAAGGGGGTGCTGACGTGGCTCACAACTCTGGGAACAGCTGCCAGGCAGCCACCTGCCCTTTGCCTTAGGGCCTTGTTCAAAGGGCAGGATGCAGGGGCCAAGAGAGAGATCAGAGAGCTCGGGAACATCAGGGTCTGGGCAGCAGTCAGTCCTTCTCAACGTGCCCAGGGCAGGGGCTACTTCATAGGCCGCGGGGCATGGGCCCTCTCCAAGGACCTCTGGGCTGGCACAGCAAGAACAAAGCTAAAGCCAGAATGGGTACTTTGAGAGCCCAGGGGCTGCTGGGCTTGGTCTCAGCTCTGGAAGCCCCAAGGAGACTGAAAGCTTTAGAGTTGGCAAAGTCAGGCCAGGCTGGGAAGGAGAAGCAAAGTAGTAGTCAGAGGTCAGGCTGGGAAAGATATGAAAAAAAATAAATAAATAAAAATAAAATAAAATAAAGTTTAAGGGGCTGGAGAGATGGCTCAGTGGAATAAGCACTTCCCTAGCAAGCGCAAGGGTCTGAGTTCAATCCCTGGTTCTGCCAAAAAAAAAAAAAAAAAAGAAAGAAAGAAAAAAAGAAAGAAAGAAAGAAAGAAAGAAAGAAAGAAAGAAAGAAAGAAACGTGGTCACGCCTTGCCTCCACCCTGAAGCCAGGCACTGACTCGGGACTCCTCTGCACTGTTCAGGGCCCAGTTCAGGGCCCAGCCACACAAACACGCACCAGGCCAGCTAGTGCTTTCTGTACAGCATGCCTGGGCTTACCAGGGTCCCCAGCTGGCCCAGCACTAATGGCCCTGCCCTTCACCACTGGTGGCCTCCACACTCTTGTGCTGGCCTCCGTGCCAGCCCACAGTGCTGTCTGGGCCTCCCCATCGTACAGGCCTCGTTGCCTTGGTGTCCCACTGTAGGAGTTACTTCCAAGTCCTCGTCTCGGTCCAAGAAGCCAATGTTTGTAATCCCAAAGCTACGTTTTTTTGTTTTGTTTTTGCGGAACCAGGGATTGAACTCAGGCCCTTGTGCTTGCCAAGCAAGTGCTTATTCTACTTAGCCATCTCCCCAGCTCCCTAAAGTTACGTTATTGGAATCCCATCAAGTTGATTCCAATCTACCACTTTCAATGCAATCCACGGTGAAAATAAAGACACTAAATTATATTTTCAATCACTGGGGAGTCGAGGGGCTCTAAGTTCAACCACGAAGATGGCTTCCCGGAACAAAAGGAGAGACCCAGGGCCTCACCTGGTCTTTATTCAGTGGGGGAGTGGCTTGAGGAGGACTGACTGAGAATTGCGGGAAGTAGGTGAGTCTGTGAGCTGAGCTAGGTGGGGGGCCCACACTTACCTCTGCCATATGCAGAGAGGGTATGCAGAGACAGTAATCTGCATCATACTGTTATGCCATGGAGATAGTACCTAATGTTTTGGGGGGTCTGGTGCTTCAGCCCTGATGTAGTCTTTCAAGGCCCAGGAAGTCATGGCCTC